CTTTTTTCCGACGATGGCAAATCCCCCTCCACACACGTTGCTTGGCGGGCATGTGCAGAACGTGATGGCAGGTGACCCCAACGATCAGCCAGACGATAAGATTCTAACTCGAGAGCAATCTCGAGAGCCCCTTGAATGTTTTTCGGTCGACCCTGACGTACTTTAATTCTTGTTTCCTCATCCGGGATCGCATCAATAAACTGATCCTTGGCCAACGTGTCCTGCAGTTCAGCTTCCGCACCAGGATATGCCAGTTTGACCAGCCTCTCTAAATCCGACACCTCTAAATCCGACACCAGCTTTACCATGATTATACATAAATTGTTCAACCTTTGACAAACGTGACTCCAGTTCTCTAATTTTCTCAGCATTCATGGTATTCATTCGGCTGACCAGTTGCTTTTGACTTTCGATCACAGAAAACAAGTTATCAAATTGTCCTTTCAACTCCTTTGTTTCTTCCTTTGCATTGTGAATAAATGCTTGCACCTCCTCTAATGTTGAAGTAATAGTTTGTTCAAAATCAAGGCAGCCCTCATTATCATGTGAATCCAGTCCCATATCAATTAAATCAGATTGTTCCTTCATGGCCTTGTTCCTTTCACTCTTCGAACGCGTTTCCATTTTATCGACCACTGTCAATTAAMAGCAAAATAAATGATGGAGAATTTACAAAATTCCAGTTGTAGTAATTCCTGTAGGCCCGTAAAMTCGATTAAAGATTAATAATTCCAATAAGCATCAATATAATAAGTACTTGTAAATAGTTCCTGTGACCACAGAAGTTGAGCAAAACGTTCAGTTCAAAACAAAATAAATTCCAGTACAGATGAATTTCAATAACAAACCAGCCCAGTAAAATATGCAAGTTGAAGCACAATCAAATTCAATGCAGACACAGCTCATTRAGCACAACAGATAAYTCCAGCGGCACACTACATAACGATAATGTCGTTCACTACAGCCAGTTTCACAATTTAGCATGTACAACAATTTCCAATTTCCTTTACAACAGGTTGATATCCGTAACTTTTAAACAACAACCATATTTCGAAGCAGATTTACACACAAATTCCTCTGAGTTAACAGGCTATTCAATTAGTTTGACAATTCCAGACGTAGAAAAACAACTGCGTTGAACACAAATAACAATATTTCTCAGTAGCAAACGCCAATGTAGCAACTTGCCCGTTAAACGAAAAATTCCATCAGTKCCTAACCAGGTTTAATGGCAAAAAATGAAGACGATGAATATAGAAACTGCGTTACATAAAACTTCGCAAATCCAACAATCCGCGTAGAGAAAATAACARCWTGCTCACTCTTGTAGAACAACAATATAAATTGAGCCGAATCCACCAGTACAGGGAATCAAATTGTAGGCTAGAGAACTTGATAAATAAACTTGAGAAGAATAATCTTGCTCACTGTAGACTTAGTGAAAATCGAGAACCTTGCTCTGCTACCAAATTTTACCAAGAGTTAATACACAGTGGAAGCATTTTAGTTGGTCTATCTTTTATTTGTCTCGTATGCGCCATTAAATAGTATTTTATGTCTCATGGGACCCGACGCGTAAATTCACAGATATTATATAATCATTATATAATCATACACAACAATATGCTGAAAGCTTTCATTTTATTAATCATACAGCGAAGTAACATAAACTTTTAGTTATATGTGGATGGGAAAATTCGAGAAAAGATGCAATACAGTAATTTCATAGCGCTTTGTGTATTTGGTTACGCCATAGTATAGTGTTCCAAGGGTGATCATAATAATAGCCAGTGAAGACATTGTGGCAGGAACATTGATACAGACGTCAGTGTTGCACCTTCACGATTTTTTTTTATTATCTAAAACAATTTTTATGAACCTTGTAAGACTTTCTGTGAAAGTTTGGTGATTATTTTGCAAACGGTTGGGACGAAATCGGAAAAATAAAGCCAANGTTACTATAATGAAATAGATAAGAACTTAAGCGCATTTAAATTGGGAGTGGCTGCCTGTAATCTTTTGGCTGCACTTCTTTACATTGGTAAGTACATATCAATAGAAATAATATTCATACAACGTGAAAAATAATTTATCATCTATCCATTGTTTGTAGGTCTAACTGTGTGGCAGTGTTTTTCACCTCTATCGCCTTCTTATTTCCACTAGCATTTTTGTCCGTCGTCTTTTATGGAATTCTAAACCATGGCCCCTTGAAGGATTATCAAATTGTTATCTATACACCAGATCATGACTACCAACCGTTATCCTCAGAGGAAACCTTCAAAAACCAAGATCTACTCAAGCAGTTTACTGAACAGCTTCAATTTCTTTTGAAAGTCTTTCCATTTGCAAGTTATTGCTTCCTCTCTATGTTCACCTATTTTGTTGCTACCTGCTTGGTTCTCACCACTCTGACATTCCCATCAGCACCATTTGGTGTRCGCAGCCATTACCAGTACTACAGAATGGCTGGCGATATAGGATTAATGTTAGGAGGGATAGAATTAATGTTGGTTTCACGTCTTTTCCCTAAAAAATTTAGTCGGAAGATCTGGATTCTTATTCTGCTCAGTGTAGGTCACCTGATATTTTTTCTTGTTGCATCATGGTGTCGTTTTGTCCCAAGTGTTTATATGATATTGCTGTTGAGTGTTATGCATGGTATCTTATTGACTTCTATTGCTGTCCGAGCAACTTTTTCTGCCTCCGAATGTTTTACCAAGTCAAGTGACAGAGGCACAGCAATGGTCATCACTGAAGTCGCCATCTCAATGGGTGGACTTGGGGCAGGGTTTCTCGGTATTTTCGTGGAAGATTACTTGAGACAGCACTGTTCAACCGTTTGATGGGGAAATTTTGTTTGGCAAGATTTYCGTCTCCAGCTGGTTGGAACAAGAATTTAAACTGTTTTTAAACTTCTAAAAATAAATGAGTCCTCTGCGTTAACTAGTGATATTTTTAATACCGAGCTTTCGGCCTAAGCGGCCATTATCAAGATAGAGTACACGTAAGATTTTAAACAACGCAAAAAACGGAAAGCGCGTTGTTTAAAATCTTACGTGTAGTCTACCTTGATAATGGCCGTTTAGGCCGAAAGCTCGGTATTAAAAATATCGCTAGTTAACGCAGAGGACTCATTTATTTTTAGAAATTATGCCTGTGTAGAAAGAAATTCTAATCATTGTTTTTAAACTACTTTTTTTTCTTCCAATACAATGTCCTCAATTTGAGCCAGGACGGAGTCCAAGACCTGACTCTAATGGTCCATTGCATTTTTTTCTGTTGAAAATCCTGACACAGAGATGTTACTCGAGTATGCACACAAGGTCTAGACTTTCAATCCTGACACTGACCCACATGTAGAGTTCCTGCAGCACATGGATCGTGAATATCATCATCGTGACGCCTTTTTTACCTTTTAGTTTAACTAACAATCCACTGGACTCTATTAAAATTAATGGTCTAATAATTACTTTTTAATATGTATAGTTTAAAACACGAGAGAGAGTGTTTATGCGGTCTTCATATTCATATCTTTACATTATTCTATTACCGCAACCTTAMMRTCTATTTCACCCCGWCCTGCTCCCAGTCTGGCCTTGTAGCTCAGCTGGCAGAGCATCGGTGTACAAATCCGAAGGTCGTGGGTTCGAATCCCAGCGAGGTCGGAAATTAATTTTTCCGAATTTATTTCTAAGGGACTTCTCCCGGAATTGCCTCCTTCTAAGCACTATAGCTTTCTTTCATTTCTATATAGAGAGTGTTTTAAACGGCTTCAAAAACTCCAACACTAATTTGAAACCATAATATGCTAAAAATAAATTTTGAGGTAAAGGGGGCAAACTGATCATGCGCGAATCACTTTACAAAGCACTCTTGTCATCCCACATAAAGTTAAATAATTCACATAAAGTTAAATAGAACCGCAGTTGGCTGTTTACTGAAATCGGTTGACATCCTGCATTGGTCAATGATCAGAAGGTGTGGTTCTGTCGGTTTGTGGTGCGGGTTTCCTGTGTTTGCCCCAGCAAGTTTGCAATACACGTGGTGGGTTTTGGACATGGGAGTGGTTCGCAACAAAACAGTGACGATTAGAAGGTAACAAAAAATCAATATAATAGATATTTTTAAGCTAATAACATTTAGAATTTTTATTTGTATTTTTTGTGTCTTTTAGTTATATATGGATGAGAAAATTCGAAAAAAGATGGAGTACAGTAATCTCATAGCTCTCTGTGTATTTGGCTACGCCGTAGCATATAGTGTTCCAAGGGTGACCATAATCATAGCCATTGAAGACATTGTGGCAGGAACATTGATACAGACGTCAGTGTTGCTGATCCTCTTTAATTCTGCCGCGACTTTCTCCAAAATATGCAGTGCCTTTCTGATAAGGAAGATTTCATTTCTCCTAAGTATTGTTGTCCTTTCCTTGGTTTGGCTGATCTCATACATGCTCTTAGTAGCATCTGACAACATAGTAATTCGACTTGTTGGAGTATTCTCTTATGGCATTGGGAATGGCTTGGCTAATGTTTTGATATTGATGCTGCTGAGTTACTATAATGAAATAGATAAGAACTTAAGCGCATTTAAATTGGGAGTGGGTGCCTGNTTTTACGCGGTAACATAAACTCGATATGATAGATATTCATAAACTAATAACATTTAGAATTTTTATTTGTATTTTTTGTATCTTTTAGTTATATATGGATGGGAAAATTCGAGAAAAGATGCAATACAGTAATTTCATAGCGCTTTGTGTATTTGGTTACGGCGTAGCGCAAAGTGTTCCAAGGGTGATAATAATCATAGCCAGTGAAGACATTATGGCAGGAACATTGATACAGACGTCAGTGTCGATGATTCTGTTTAATATTGCCWCAACGTTCTCCAAAATATGCAGTCCCTTTCTGATCAGGAAGATTTCATTTCTCCTAAGTATTGTTGTCCTTTCCTTGGTTTGGCTGATCTCATACATGCTCKTAGTAGCATCTGACAACGTAGTAATTCGACTTGTTGGAGTATTSTCTTATGGTATTTGGGATGGTTTTGCTGATGCTTTGATAATGTTGCTGTTGGGCCACTATAATGAAATATATAAAAACGTAAGCGCATATAAATTTGGTTTGGGTGTCTCAAATCTTTTGGGTGGACTCCTTTATATTGGTAAGTACATATCAAAAGAAATAATATTCATTTACCGTGTAAATATTTAATTAATCATATATCTATTGTTTGCAGGACTAACTGTGTGGAAGTGCTTTTCACCTCGAACAGCTATCGCCTTCTTATTTCCACTAGCATTTTTGTCCGTCGTCTTTTATGGAATTCTAAACCATGGCCCCTTGAAGGATTATCAAATGGATATCCATACACCAGATCATGACTACCAACCGTTATCCTCAGAGGAAACCTTCGAAAACCAAGATCTACTCCATCAGTTTATTGAACACCTTCAATTTCTTTTGAAAATCTTTCCATTTGCAAGCTATTGCTTCCTCTCTATGGTCATCTATTTTGTTGCTGCCAACTCGGTKCTCACCACTCTGACATTCCCATCAGCACCATTTGATGTGCGCAACCATTACCAGTACTACAGAATGGCTGGCGATATAGGATTAGTGTTTGGAGGGATGGAATTAATGTTGGTTTCACGTCTCTTCCCAAAAAGGGTCAACACTTTTTTTAGTCAGAACATTTGGATTCTTATTATGGTCAGTTTAGGTCATGTGATATTTTTTGTCGTTGCATCATGGTATCGTTTTGTCCCAAGTGTTTATGTAATATTGCTGTTAAGTGTTACACATGGCTTCTTAGTGANGGGTTTGGGCTATAATCCCAGAGAGTTTGGTTTACATAGTCTGAGATCGGGGGGTATATCGTCTGTAGTAAACACCACCAATAGTACTATATCTGAAAGACTGTTAAAGTTACATGGAAGGTGGAAAACCGATATTGCCAAGGATATGTATGTTCACGAAGATATTAAGAGAAGATTACAAGTAACTAATAGTTTGGGCCTATGATTATTATGGCCATTATTCATATAATTTGATAATTAATAATTCATCGATTAGATTAATTTACTCAGTTTTATTATGCGTCTATTTATTGTGACATAACCAATGTAAAGAATTATTCAGTAAACTCATGCTACTCTGCTAGAGTATCCATCCTATACTGTTGTAGTTTTATGTCTGTTACAGGGAGTATAAAGAGCAAATTAATTTACGTTCGTTTGAACGAAGTGAATTAGAACGTAAACGACTCATATTGGTGACGTGCATTATATACAAGTTGCCACTTTATGGGTTTTGAAATAGATATATAGCTATTAAACTTAGTTGACTGACTATCTTGATATTCTTTATGAATTCACGCCTTGGTGCAAAACACTAAATTATTGTATTTCACAACAAGTCATATTAACAAACTTTTTCAGATATTGCAGATTGCAATATACCCTCCTTCTCGTACTCTTTTTTCAAATAGTTCCAAGTTCACTAGTTTTCCTTTGCTATTGATAAGGSTGGATATATATAGAAGAGACCGATTGGAACTTCACGGGGAGGKATTTCATATTCAGCAGGGAAATGTGGGATTCTTTATGAATTGAATAGGTCATTATAAATTCACTGGGCAATATGTGAGTTACCGATGAATTAATAGCGAATCATAGTTATCACTAATTCACTAGTTTTCACTAGAGGGGTGAATTTTTTTAGAGAGCTAACATTTACAAGTAAGTATTATAATAACCTAAAAGTTATTCACAAAATTAGGAGACACATTACCAAGACTATTTACGTCTATCGTCGGTTTTTTTACCCAATAATTTACTGTCTTCTAAGTTTGCATTATCATTTCATTCGAGAAAAGGGGGTTGACTGGTCACCCAATTCACCCCTTCCCCCCTCTATCCGCCCCTGGGTTGTATATATAATAGAGACCGATTGGATCTGAAAGCAGGAGAGTGATATTCATTAGGGAAATATGTCGTTTATCAATAGATTTGAATAGCTTATTATAATTTCATCGGGTTATATATGAGTGACCGGGATCTGTCGGGATGCCCTTCCGTGGATTGTCTTGAAGTATTCTTTCAAGAATGAGCACTCCACATGACGTGGTGCACTAGAATATACAGCATGCCCGAGTTCCAATTCTACGCAGTGGGCAATGTATGTCTATATCATATTTGCATAGGTCGATCACATGGAAAGTGAGATCTTGCATTGCATGTTTCCGAATAGCACTTTACACCCCTGGAAACACAAGATATCATTATACAACTAAGTGCACCTCAAAAGGAAGAGAGAATTATCCCTAAAACAAACAGTTGCCTTTA